TATATATTCATCCTCTCATCTTCATTCATTTTTTTTTTCTTTATTTTCTCAACATTTCTCCGCACTCATCCTAAGTCGAATAGTTCCTAAGTCCAAATTTCCTAAGCCACCACAAAAAATATTCGACCACCCCTCAAAGCCGAGCACCACCTGAGCCAGCGAGCCCTAGCACACGACCAACTCCCAGCACACTTTCGTTAGCTGCAGCAACAGCCCCGTACAAGCTCTCAGCTACTCCCGTGCCAAGAGGCCCGAATCCACACCGAGCCAAGGCCACTGCAACCCTCCACTAGCCAACTTCGTCTTCTATTTCCTATTTTCAAGCCCTGGAGAAGGTATAATCCCCAAAACTCCCTCCTATGGCTTAGATATGATTATAAAGTATTATAAAATATAAAAGTATAAAAAATGATGTGAGAATGGGAGATATAAATTTTAGGATGTTATAAGCCTTAAATTCGTATTTTGAGCTATGCATGTCCAAAAATTGTGATTTACAGTTCCATAAATCATACAATATTGTGTAGATGCAGTGGTTTAAATTTGAGAACTTTTAGAGTTCATTTTCTATGTGAACAAAAATAGTATATCTAGACCTAAAATGAATATTTTATGTTGAACAAGTTATAGATATGATCTTGTTGAGATATTTTAACCAAAAATATTCAATATCATGTTGAGTTTGTGTTTAAAATTTGATGGTTTTTGGAGATCATTTATTATATGAACTGGAATTGTAGATTTAGAACTAAATTGGTTATCTATATTTATCTATATATCTATATAAAGAGACAATTTATTTACCAAAAATAGTAACAAAAAAAGTCAACTACCCCTTCTCTCTCACCCTCATCTTCCTCAGATCCTCTTCTCGTCCCCTTCTCTCTCACCCTCTCTCTCGTCAATTCGCGAATTGTGCTCCCTTAGTCGTCGTCCGGGGTGCGTTGGTGGACGGCCTCCACCACTCATCCATGGTTGCTTCACCTTCGTCTTCGGTCTGACGCCACTGGGTCTCGGCTAGGGTTTCGGAGGACTCCCTTCTGCTCGATGGCCGCCGGTATTCAGTGGAATCGGAGCTCGGCGGCGTGCGGAGGTGCGTGGATGAGGCTTGAGTTGCTCGAGTCTGCTTTGTTTGGGGTGTTTCTTCGTGTCTGGCTCGGAGGTAACCCGTCATTATCTTTCCGTTTTCTGCGGGGGGCGGGTCGTTGGCTTGTTTCTTGTGCAGCGGGGTTGTATCGGGTTTTTCCTTGTGGGTTGGGATGATCGGATGTTGCCTCGTGCGGGCTGGGTCGAGTTGGCTGAACTAAGGCGCCATTCTTCCCCTTCTTCCCCTTTTTTGGTTTCCAAATTCATGGGAGGGCGGCTGTTTTGGGACGCGGGCTAGTGGTGATAGTCGGTCTCGTGACGGTGTCGGATTGGCTAGTGGTGTTAGCCGGTGGGGGGAGTTCATGGTTCCTTGTGGTTGGAGTGCGGGTCGATTTCTCGGTTTGTTTTTTCGCGGCTTGGATCTTCGCCTTGCTAGGCCTTATGCAGTGGTGGGCGTGGTATCAGAACTTCGGAGCTCTCCTCGGAATCGGTTTGTCTGTTGTCCCCTTCGGATGTTTCTGCTCAGGGAGGTTGTGTTGTTTAGTGTGTAGGTGTTTTTCGTTCTTTGTTCTTGCTTTGTCGTTTGTGTTGATGTTCAGTTGTTGTGTTCTAGGTTTGGGCCGTTGGCCCCAGTCAGTTCGAGTATGAGCTTATTATCCTTTTGGGACCACACACTCGGACATTACCCTGTTGGGGCCATTTTTTGTGTTGTGTTTTTGTGTTGTGTGGTTTTTACCCTGTTTGGGTCGTCTTTGTGTTGTGTGGTTATTGCTCTGGTAGGGTCGTCTCTAGGCAGGCTTCATCCTGGCCTCTCTAGTTTATTCAGCTGGTGGCTGTGTTTGTCAGTTGGTAGTTGTATTTTTGCACATTTGTGCCCGTATATAAAATCTCTATCGTTCCGAAAAAAAAAACATTTATTGCATTCTATTTTTTACAGTTTTTATTTTATTTAATTATTCCTGAAAATCAATCAGTTATATATGTGCCCTAAATTCATGGGTTTTGTGATTTAATTTAGGTAATTTTTTACTTATGCTTACCATTTTACAAAAGTCAAAATTCTTTTTCATTTAAAAAATTGATTACCATAAAATAGAGAATTTTGAATTAGGCAAAAATACTATCACATATATCTTTTACTAATTGCAACATATTAATTTTTTATTAAAAAAATTGTATTGCATAGAAACCGGGTTAAATTATGTACAATTCGACATGACAATTTTGTAAAAAGTGAAAAGTCTCTTATTTTTATTTAAACAAAAATTTGTTTACCATAAAATCGGAAATTTTGAATTAGGCAAAATATTATAACATCTATGTTTACCTAATTGAAACAAATAATGTTTTTTAAAAAATTCAGATTGCATAGAAAGTGGACACAATTTCAAATTTTATATTATTTGTTTACCGATAGAAAGCGGACCCAACTTTTATCTTTTACATTCTTTCGATTATCCAATCATCCAAATATAAATGTTTACCTTAATAAAACTAGCTCGTGCATCGCACGGGTACCGCACTAGTATTATGTTAAATGAGTTAAAGATCTATTCTTGTTGAGATACTTTAACAAAAAATCATTAATATCATGTTGGTTATGTTTAAAATTTGAGGATTTTTGGTGGTCGTTTGATATGGTTTCAAAAATCGAGACTCTAGCCTTAAATCGGTAAATTTTTATATATTTGGAATAATGAGATTTAGTTGAGGTTTGGAGATCTATAATCCTTATATAGTGATGAGTTCATGGTTAAAGTTTCACCTTGAAATCAGTTAGGATGCCCAGTGAACTAGAACCCTAGTTTTGCTACCTTTTTAGCACCAAGTAAATTTAAAATGCAAGCAAAACGTTTCGAGTAATCCTAGCCTAAATGAACCCTAGACATCCTAAGGAGTCTAATGAACTAAGGGTCGTCAGAAAAGCGTCGGCCGACCGGCGAGCTGCCGGCCCAAGGCCGCAGCCTGCGCCCGTGTCGCACTGACGAAGCCTAGTGCCCGCGTGCGCCCCAGCCAGTGCGCACTCGCGCGCGTCTCGTCCTTGTCACGCGTCATGTCGTTGCTTGGAGTTGCCACGTGTCGTGCCAACTATCGTCGAGGGCGTGCCCGTGCATCAGGAGCCCCGCGCCCCTGCGCCCTGCTCGCACCTGTGTGCCCTTCGGGCAACCACATGGCAGCACGCCCATGCGCCGCCACCTGTCGTGCGTCCGTGCCTAGGTCCAATGCGCCCCTATGCTAGTGGTCGTAGCTCGTCGTTTGAACCCGTGCGCTGGTTAGGCAGTGTCTGTTGGTGTTATATACTTAAGCTTTGCTTTAGTGGATATTACACTTGTTATTCCTTGATGGATGAGAATTATGTTTGGTTAAATAAGTTCCAC